CTGTGTTTAACAAGGCTTATTCACTCATTCATTCACTCATTTGATGAATATTTACCAAGTGGATATTAAATGCCAGGCACTGTTCTAGGTATCTGAGATGTATCGCTAACCAAAACAGACTAAAATTTCTACTTTTTGGAGCTGATGTTCAGCTACGATGGGTGTTCTTGAGTCCAAAAGAGTTCCCCCATCCAGAAAATAACCACCCTGTACTCATCAGCAGCCTTATGTTTTGCATCCACCCTCTAGAATGTAAGCTCCATAAGAGCAGAAACTTATTTTGTTCACCTTTTTCTATCCCTATCGCCTGGAACATTACAAGTGCTCAAAAATTGAGGTGTTTATTACAGGTGCTAAATAATTGTTGAATAAACAAGTGAATGAATGAATGAATGAATGAATAATGGAATTTCTACTGCCCTGGACAGTGCTGGGGGGTTGGGCCCCCTAGGAAGTGATTGGGCAGGGATCTGTTCGTTCTGATGGGGAAAGCCCCAAATATCAAGAGCTCTTCCACTATGTATGGGGAGGAGAAGTTTCTTGGTTGAGCTGGTGGGAAAGAGACTCTGAAATAACTGCTTCTTATATGCTAAATCCGGCAACCCTAGCTTTCAGTCAGTCCTCATGTTTTCAGCCAGCCTCCTCCTCCAGCCTGACTCCACTCCCCTCACTCTGTCCTCCAGAGGTACCTGGAGTGGGTGCCTTCAACTTTGCAGCTGTCCTGGGTGCAGTAACACAAAACAGCTCCTTTCTTTCTCCACTTGGTTCTGCTGAAGTCGGTTAAGACTCACTTGTCCCCATTCAGCTTCCTAAATGTAATTTTTCTCTTTGTCGTGGCGGGTTTATCTGTGTCTTCTGTTACTCAGCCCAAAAACTCAGCTGGAAATTTTCAGTGTTCAGTAGACAAACTTTTAATTAATTTCCCTGTGTTTAACAAGGCTTATTCATTCATTCACTCATTTGACGAATATTTACCAAGTGGATATTAAACGCCAGGCACTGTTCTAGGTATCTGAGATGTATCACTAACCAAAACAGACTAAAATTTCTACTTTTTGGAGCTGATGTTCAGCTACGATGGGTGTTCTTGAGTCCAAAAGAGTTCCCCCATCCAGAAAATAACCACCCATCTTCCACTATGTATGGGGAGGAGAAGTTTCTTGGTTGAGCTGGTGGGAAAGAGACTGCAATTATAACTGCTTCTTATATGCTAAATCCAGCAACCCTAGCTTTCAGTCAGTCCTCATGTTTTCAGCCAGCCTCCTCCTCCAGCCTGACTCCGAAACATTTCTATTTTAATTTCACCCAAAAACATTGGAAAGCCAACACAGTAGTGAAAAGTTACCAAGCTACCATCTGACCATCTGAGAGAAAATGAAAATCCAGAGAAGCAAGTCTGACATTTGAGGCCACTTTTCTCCAGGTAGCATTTTTTAATTTTGATAAAGCCAGGGTCTGATGGCTGGGCAATGTGTTTGATGGCCTGGTATGGGGACAAAAGTTGGATCCTGGAAAAAACATAGTAGTGTGTGTTGGGACCCTGAAGTGGTGTTCTCGAGGAGTAAGGGTGAATTGGAAGTCAAAAATCCTTCACACAACCTGTAGCCCAGCTTCACATCATCTGGGCAGCCCAGAATATCTCAGGCCCTGCAACAGGACTAAGGTGATCCCGGGTTGCTAATGTCCTCAGGCTCCAGGAAGAAGCAAACAAAAACCTCCCTGGAGGAAAACATAAGGCATTATTTTAAGCCTAAAATTATTTCTGCAAACAATTTTTCTACAATGTCTGATACAATCAAAGACAACCAGGCACAGATCCAGATAATATGAACAAGAACCAGAAAAAACAATAGAAAATAGAAACAGAATTACACGGTCTCCAGATATTGACACTGATCAGCCCTTAAAACAATTAGCTTATGGTGCTCCAGGAAATAAAATATGGGATTAATATTTTCAGCAGAAAACTGGAAGTATTTTTTAAAAGACATAGCAGAAATGAAACATAAACACATAATTAAATAAAATTCTAGAACTAAAAAGGCAATAACTGAAATTAAGAGCATCACAGATGAATTTTTATCAGATTAGACCTTGCTGAACAGAAAAATAAAAACTGAAAAATAAGTCAGAAAAAGATTTTCAGAGTGACACATAAAGAGGCAAACGCCTGTAAAACACAGACAAGATGGTAAAAGACCTACATACAGCCTAGCATGCATTTAACTGAACTCCTAGAAAGAGAGTAGAGAGAATGCAACAAAAGCAATGTCTTAAAACAATGGCTGAGACTTTTCTAAAGGTGATGTAAGATATGGATCTACAGATTAAAAATTAAATAAACTTTGCTGGGAAGATACAGAAGAAATTCTTTTTTTTTTTTTTAAAGTCCAAGATGACTCTAAGAGTTCTAGCTTGAGTGAAAGGGTGATATGTTTAACTGAGATAAGAAACAGAGAAAGAAGAACAGGGTTCATGGGGTTTGGGAGAATGCAGTATAAAATAGAAATAGTAGGTTCCAATTTTTACCTGCTGAATTTAACGTCCAGGCAAGGATAACAGATGGATCATTTTTTCTTGAATAATAATCATTTTTCTTGTCATATTCAGGATTCTCCAAAACATTCATTGTTTGGAAAAAACCACTAGACCTTTCTTGTCCCAAGGATCTAGCACCCTCAGGCCCCCTTCCCTTCCTGCTAGAATCCGTGGTTTGTCTCTAAGAGTTGCTCTACAAATAGGCATTTGCAGAAAAACACACAATGACTTGAAAACTGCATCTGTCTGATGTTCAAATGTAATTATTTGTTCAATGCAACCTACACAGAAAAATACCCATCACAACAAAATAATGTGTTGTCTAACTTTTAACACTATGTTTCAGGGCTTCATTTTTAAAAAATACTATTAGGGCAAGTTATGAACAAAATGTGGAATTTCTGCATATGACACCAAAACTTCAAATGATGGAATAAATACAACTCTGTCACAATCTACAATATTACCTAAAGGATTATCATGAGTTTTTAAAATATAGTTATTTGACTTTATTAACACAAGAAAAAAATAAAACATTGGCTACCATAAATTTCAAAATTTTTTTTTACTAAGAAAACAGCACAAATTTTACAATAAGCTCTGTGATTAATGGATGAAAATGACATAGCATGCTTTCTTTTCAACTAAAAATTCCCCAAAAGGTTAATAGATGATAATAATGATGACAGCTATTTATTGGGCACTTTCAACATGCCAGAAACTGTTCTAAGGGACTTATATGGATTCACTAAGGGACTTACATGGATTCACTCATTAAAGAGTTTTGAATATGATAACATAACATAAATTATGGCCGATGATAGCATAAATTATATACCAAATGATATTAAGAATATTATTTAATGAAGAGTCAAGCAATTTTTTTTCCAGGATTATTCTTTTTAAAAAATGCACTACAACTGAGCTGGTACAACTAGGGACTGGAAATATATATGGGAGAAATTAGAAAAACACTTTATAATAATAAACTACAAGTACATCTATAATTTTTTTCCATGATATTATATTTTTCTTCTGAAAGTAAAAATAAAATTTTCAAAACCAATAGCAGGAAAATAATTTTATTTTAAAATAACCCTTTACATGCCAACATTAAATTTTTAAATATATCTACATTGTATCCATGATATCGCCTTATACAATCGAAGATGAATTTTTCAACACTAACTACGGGTCTAGTTGTCCCAGATGTTTTCATTATATTATTTCCTTATATAACTACCGCTATATTGTCCTGGTTCCCTAAATATCATTCCAAATAGAGTCACTGTGAATACTTCAATTATAATTTTGTACAATTTGATCAAATTTCCTAAATAATCACCAGCATGTAAAGCTAAGACATAAATTTTTTTAAGCAGAATGCTCTTTCAAGAGAATTTTACGTAATAAAATGCATAAGCCTACTTCTCAAATTATTAAGTCTCTTAAAGGTTTATAAGTAATTTAGGACATTAACTACATATTATGGAGGATTGAAATTTAATAGCCAAACCCTTGTTTACTTCTTTTCAGCCATTCTGGCCATTGGGTTCCTGGAAATTTGGCTGTCTTGCTTAGCTTTTTTTTTTTTTTTTTTTAACCTACTTAAATTTCTCATATAGTCTGTGACCCTTATTATTTAAAAAAACTATGAATTCACAGAATTATTCGATTCTTTGGATAATATCGGACCCTAAGGGTCTTTGAATCCAGCCCATTACACAATGTTTGAATCCCCTCTGCTACATCAATCCAAATGTTTCCCATCCCTTGTGCCTGCCAAAATAGGGAACCAGCCATAAGACAACTCATTTCATTTTTGGTTTTCATTAATAAAAATGTCTTCCCTATACTGAGCTGAAATCTTCCCTAAAACTGCCACCTATTTAGGGCTTCACCAGTCTCAGCACTGGCCCCGGCAGGATGAGCAGGTTAATGTCTTTGTATCTTTAGTTCCCTTAGTTGTATAATGGGGATAAGAAATGTATGTCACAGGGGATGTGGAGATTGAATAAGAATGTTCACAAAGCACGTGGCACAGCATCGGGCCTCCATGAGCGGTAGCCTTCATCAGGAATAGGAAACCTTCCTCTGCGTGGCTGCCCTCAGTGATGTGGTAGCAACCAGTGCTCACTCTTGTCTAGGCCAAATATCCACATTTCCTTCCGTGTCTCTTTGGACAACATGGTACGGTCTCCTTATTTTTCTAGTCATTCCTTTCTGAATAAGTTCAGTTCTTTGAGAGAAAGGTCAATTGCCAATCCAAAAAAAAAAATTATCAACTATTTTATTAACTGAGAGAAAGCTCTGTACCCATAAGTATCACTGCAAGATAATATTTCTCTTTTCTCTACTGCTTATTAAATCTCCTCTCCTCCCCCTCCTACCTCCAGTGTCCTCACGTCTGGCCCTCTGGCAAGCCAGGCTATGGGAAAGGCAATAGGTACGGGTACTCGCTGGTTCTAAGGTGAGGAGAAGACAGAAGTGCCACTCAGACATTAGGATGTATCTGAGAGATTTCCCTCTTCATTCTGGTAGGCTGTGGGCTCTTCCTCATCAAGGGTTTCTCCTCTCTGTTCTCTCCGATCCTTCTTCTGGACTTCACAATTCTGAGTGGTGGCTCCATACGACATCTTCTTTCTGGGACTCACAAAAGTCTCATGGCTGAGTTCTGTCTCCTCAGCTAATTCATCATGGTCAATGATGCCACATTTCTCCTCGGAGAGATCCCCTGGGTCAGCCCACTCCTGTTTCTCCCCAGAAGCAAAGACCCCATAGAAGATCACACCACTGTAGTGCACCAGGGCAGCTATGAGGAACACATTCTGCCATTCCTCCCGGGTCTAAACAAGAAAACAAAATGCCAGTTAGTGTTTAACTGAAAACAGAGATTAACAGTATGTTCTGAAGGTCTCCAGTGGGACAAAAGCTCCTGCCCACCCCAAAGGCAATGCTGTGCTTCTTGGGAAGACATGTTAGAAGCAGCATCCAGCATCTAAACAGAATTTAGGTACTTAAAAAATGAAAGTTAAGACTACAATGAATATGAAAGTTAGAGACTACAATGAATACACGCTTTTAATTTAGAAAATACATTTTTAAATGAACGTGTAAAAATACACGCAGCACCATTGCTCGGATCTTCTAAATATACAAATGGGGTTTCTGCTCACATAGGAGGCTGAATTAAACTTGCTTTAGGAACCCACCACTCTGAATATCAGTGAACTCCTTCTCGTTTGCCATTGAATACACAACAATACTGGAGCCACTAAAGTGCTCATCCTTGACTACCAATAGCTTATTTACAATCATATTTTCTGTGTAAAAAAAGTCAATCGAAAAATAATGGCACTTTGTGTTTAAAGTTAGGGGAAGATAGTATCTTAGACCTAATAGTCATGTTACCAATCCTACCATTTCATGAACAGAGAGGGAAAACACGGATCCTCACTATACAATCCTCAAATCCCACCTTCCTTTTCTATCACAAAGTAAGAAAAGTTACCTAACACTTTCTTCTCCAAGAAGCTAGAAGAATTTCTTTAAGTTATATTTATAGCAGGCAATCCAGCTAAGAAAAGATTTGAGTAAAAATCCCACGGTCTCAAAAAATTCTTATTTGCAGAAAGAAGCATCCTGAAACCTTTTCAGTGACAGAGATTAAGAAGTCCTGTGGCCTGCGGCTGGACTCTAGGTGGCTCCTGGGATCCTCCTCCACCACTCACCCAAGTCTAAACACAGATCCAGGTCTGTACACAGGTGCAATAACAACTGAGTGCCACACCCTTGTAAATTCTAAGAAAGGATCATTAATGTTTTTTTTATTTTCTTCTTAACATGGAAGTAACAGCACAAATATTTTTATACTGGAACATGCTAAACGATATATGGAAATAGGCTATAAAGTTTAATCAGAATTATAAAACAATCTTGGGTAACACATTTATCCTGACTGGATTGCTTCAGTTTCTTCTTTGTGTCTCTAAGCAGTCTCTACAGCCTTCACCCTTCTCCCCCAAACTTTTACTTCTCAGTTGAGAAAACACAGAACCAAACAACAAGTAGGCCTGGTGCCATCAATAAACAGTGATTTTTTTTAAAGGGGGAGGGGGAGGAGCAGTAAGAAAGGAAGGGGGAGGGAGGGAGAGAGAGTGGAAAGAAAAGAAGTTCAACTGACTCAGTTAAGGTCAACGACACACACATTTACAGGCTGGATAGGGCTTTGAGATCTCAAGTCTGTGCAGTGCTTCAGTCCTCTGATACTGTAACCCACAGCCACAAAGGACACCATTACCTTGTGCTTGGTCATTGCACCAACGATGAGGGGACAGACCATTCCAGACAGAGTTCCCACTCCATTGGAGATCCCCATGAGAATGCTGGCATAGCGGGGTGCAATGTCCAGGTGGTTGACATTAAAACCTGCAATGAAACCAAAACCTCATAATCAGAGTCAAAAACAGAATTCCAACTACATTTTGGAAAATACTAGTTTCCCCATCTCTCATCAATCTATTTGGTTTCCTCTAGTATATCACTAATGGATACTCTACTGAGAAGACCGGGTCCAGGATTGTCAAGAAGTATCTGTGCACAGCAGGAAAATGTGATGGGATTGATGAGCGATGTCTACCATGGGCTCCCAATGGGGAGCATTAAGGCACATATGCCTTGAGGGTTTGGAACTCCTAAATACAGTGTTTGGGGCAGTGCAGAAAAGCCTAAGGCCTGAATCACATTTATTCAGACTAAGCAATCAAACCATGTAGATCCAAACCAAATCCTTACCTGTGACTCACTCCTACAAGGCCACCAGAGATAAGCCTGCCTATAGCCACATGGCATGATGGAAAGGGTGCTTTGTTATAATAAATACTTACACAAACATTAGCAGAATGCTCCGTAATTTACAAAAAATTTTCACACAATGCTTGATTGGGAGTCTGTAAATGAAGATTCGAATCTTATTTCCACCATGTAAGCAGTGATTTGGGGGCCTTTGTTTCCTCATCTCCAAAATGGGGATAATATAACTACTTACTTCATAAAAAGGCTGTGATATGAGACTCAGGGGAAATTGTATGTGAGAGCCCTTGGTGAACAGCTAAGCTATACTAACTACCTCCACTACTACCATGGCTGCTGTTGCTACTACTGCTAAGCATCTCCCTCTTTTTGAGGTCTTCTATCAGAAGATAATGCTGCTGGGAATAGTAAAATAATTACTGGTCACCAACACCTCACCGTGAATCTGTTCATCAGGAGAGCACTGAATGAAGGGGGAGGGGTGAAGGCAGGGGAAGGTCAAGGCTATGTAAGAGGAGGCTTAAGGCACCGGAAACCAACCTTGCCTTTACTGTCCAGGGGTGCATTTTACAGTCAGACAGACCTCAGTTCTGGCAGCTTCATTGAAATGCAAACCTGGACTAAGAATTTAAACTTCCTGAACTTCAGTTTCTTCATCTATAAGCTGAAATAATCATGCTTATAAAATTGTATTGTACAGGTGAAAACCAACACGTATGCTCAGATGGGTGGGTAGCTACCTGTCTTATTTACCACTGTCTTCTGAGAACTAACAAAGTGTCTGGAAGGCAGTAGTCACTCAATAGTTGTTTAACCACCAATCTGAGCTATTGAAATGACAGCAAGCACTCATAGGTTTAGCTTATTCATATTTTTGTTTTCCTTTGCTTTGCTTTTTAATTCTCTGTGCAAAGAACCTGGAAATAGGATTTAAGAATAATGTTTTTAATAATCTGGCACATCGGTTGGTTTTTTTTTCCTACCTCCATTCAGGGAGAATTTTTGAGAAAGCCTTTTTTGCATAAACATACCTTCTCTTTCAGATCAAAGTGCCAGACAATCAGAATATAAAACAGCTGCAAGATTAATTAATCTTACTGTTGATTTAAATGCGATAAACACTTTATTAGAAAACCCAAAGATAAGAAGCAATTAATATGATTGTAGAGTATTATGTTCTGATACAAAGCCTAGGCATCTGCGTTCAGCTGAAGATAATGTGAGAAAAGCCATTTAGGTTTCTAGCTGCACAATCCTGGCATTCAAAGAAAAAAACACTGAGAAACTGAGATATCGATAGGTTTTTGTAGCAGATGGAAAAACACTGCACACAATCTGAGAAAGTCTGTCTTCTCTACATAGAACATTTCCCAAAACAGGCACTTATCCCTTTCATCTTTCTACCCTCACCTATCTCGGGTCTCTTGTCTATAACCAGCTCCTAGATCATGCCAGACAGTCTTCCCTAGCATTCTTGTTTATTCCTTATAAAGCTGGCAGACAGCACATCCTGAGGAATTGTCACCCCTATGGCCACAGTGCCTCCCATAGTGTCATTGTTGGTTCAGACAAGACCTTTGTTACAATCCCAGCACTTAACTGGGCAAGTTAAGTCATGCCTCAGTTTCCTCACCAGTAAAATGGACACAGCAATACCCTTTTTATCAGGTTGCAATGGGAGTTGAATGAGATCATGTTTAAAAAGTGGTAAATGTGGAGTAAGTTCTTAAGAAAAGAAGGAAGCTACTATGATTTGCTGTATTGGGTTTTTCTCCTTCTGATTGTGACTTACCAGGAAATCCAGGGGAAAGGGAGCAATAAGAACCTGAACATTTCAGTATCTCTGGGGACAAGATATGAATCTCTCTTGCATCACAGAGTTATCAAGGGAATATGTCCCTCAACATCCTACTGGAAGTGAGTCATGACTGCTCTATCCTTACTATTCAAAGTATGGACCACAGTGTCACTAGGGAGCTTCTTAGAAATGCAGAGTCTCAGGCCCTGCTCTTGACATATTAAATCAGAATCTGCAGTCTGGAAGATCCTAGGGTGATTTCTATGTACACGAAAGTTAGAGAAGCACTGGGCTGCAGTGCATAATCACAGAACAATAATAGTGAATACTTACCAATTTTGTTGTGCATTTGGCACTGTGCTAAGGACTTCACATGCTTTATTTCTACTAGAATGCAAACTTTATGAAGGCAGAATCTTTCATTAGTTCACTGCAATATCCCCAGCACCAAGAACAATGCCCAGCTACTGGGAAGCATGAGTGAATGCATGAATTATCTCAGTTCATCCTCCCAATAACCCTGTGAGGTTGCTGATCTCTCCAATCTCTGGATGAGGAAAGTGAGGCTTCCAAGTTTAAATATTTTATCAATTTTTTTTATTTTATAAATAGTAAGTAGTAAAGAGGGACCTCACACTTAGGTCTATGCACCTCCAAACCCAAGTTGTTAGCTGCAAGCTACTTTTAAAGGCTCTATTTATTTTGATAGATACATCAAGCCCCTGTCTTAGGGGGCTTAAACCAAAGCCTCCATATTTTTTTGTTTTGGAACATTATCATTCTTTATTAATATTTATTCTTTATTGATATTTAGGGCAGCCTGGAAAATTGGAAAAAGCACAGGTTGGAGCCAGGCAGAACTACTCTTTCATCCTTCCTTTGCCACCAACTGTGTGACATTAGAAAAGTACACAATTTTCCTGCACTTTAGGTAAATATCAGTAAAATAGCGAAAAAATAGTAAAATAGTGATATTACTACTTGCTTCACAATATTTTAAGACAGATGCAATATATGTTAAGTGTTCTGCATGCTTCAAATTTTATTATTACAATATGTTTTAAAAATAGAAAAACAATTTTAATTTTTCAACCAGTTTTGCATAGATAGGAAGCTTCTGAAGTCTATCAGAAGTCTATGATATGACTGCACTGAGGCCTCTCACATACAGTAGACTGGTTTCTGCTCCTGTAAAATAGGGATCCTGATGGCAATGATACCGCTAGGGTCATTGTGAGAATGACAGGGCTTCACAGAAGGTGCTGCACAGTTCCCAGCATAGCAATCATGCTTGATTGACATTAGCTCACGTCATCATTGCTATGACTCCTACCAGCTCATACCGCTAGGGTCATTGTGAGAATGACAGGGCTTCACAGAAGGTGCTGCACAGTTCCCGGCATAGCAATCATGCTTGATTGACATTAGCTCACGTCATCATTGCTATGACTCCTACCAGCTCTACCCTGTTTGGAAAGTCACTTCCCCTCTCTGGACCTGCATTTTCTTGTTTGGAAAATGAAGGCAATGGAGTAGACAAGATCTAAAGAAACTTTCCACTCTAAAAAACTTCCTGTCAAATGACATCGTGATTTGAGCTAACATTAGCAGATCTCCAGCAGAAGGCGAGGATTGAAAAAGTCACAAGAACCTCTCTTAGGTAGGGTGACCTGGCACTGAAGTGTGGAAGTCCACTTCACCCAGGACACATGCTTGTGCCTCTGCTCATACCTCAGAGGGTCACCTGCACTTTGTGTCTTTTCCCATGACAGAGTAAGTAGGGACAATTCCATCTTGAATGGGCTCCTAAGACCAGTCCTCAGCAATTTTTACCAAGTCACTCCAGCTAGATGACATTCTCTAGGTACTGGCCCTGCTCTTTGGGAATGGCCTGGCTGCTAAAGAAAGGTGCTGCAATGTCCTTGTCCTTCCTTCCTCCCGAGACTTGCTCAATCTGTAGACAAGATATGGAAACCCAAAGGACACTTTACCTGAAATAGCAAAGCCACTAAATCCTACAGCAAGCACCAGAAAGGAGATAGCCACCCCTTTGGTATGGGAAAAGCCAACCACCAGGAGTAAGGTTGCCTCCATGCCAAAACCTGCAAATGAAAACAGCAGGGAAGAAAAAAATGTCACTTTCATGTCAGTTATCCCAAGTTCATTAATTTATCAAATATGAATTAATCTATATTAATCTATATTTCCACAGACCTAACTTTTTAGTATATATATTCTGGCTCAGTGCTTACAATATTACCCAGGTGTTTCATGACTACACGACTATGCTAATATGACTTGAGTGTTTTGTGAACTTTCTAACATTATCCTTGTGCCCCTTGAACACCAAATAGTCCCAGCAGTTTCCACTGATGATCCCAGGGTGAGGGATGTTAACTATTAGTAGCTTCGTGTGCAGTTGTCCTTGTCATTTCTAAATACTAAAACTCTCCCATATATTATCAATAATTCCCTTTTGACTACATAAGTTATGGCCTCTCACATAAAAATGAAATGGCACCATCTAATATTTATTGCCAGAAGAGACCAGAAATCTGTAGTGAATATCTGAAACAAAAAGCAGTATCTTAATGCTTACAAAGCACAAGTCAAAAT